TGTACATGCCCTGTGTTTTTCCTGCTCTGCTCAGCAACAGTATAATAATCAAACTTAAATTCAGTTATGATACTTTTATTTATATTGAAAGGTAACTTAGTATAATGGGAAGTCCCCTGAAGCATGGGGTAAGACCCTGGTTTAGGTTCAGACTCTTATATTAATGACGTAACTTTTCATATCCCTGAGCCCTACTTTTCTCAATTGTAAAGGAGAGGAAATATATCTCCTACTAATAGAATATCATATAATGAAGGGTTGCCAAATGTTGTTGGCTTCTTGGATAGGTTAGAATTTCTGGATTATATTGTCTGTAGACTTTGCCTTCTATAAATCGTTTCTTAGTGATTGAAGTCACAGGTAGTGCCCTGAGGAATGCAGAATAGATAGTCCAATAGTGTTTGTATCAATTTTAGCCAGAACTTGGGAATTTCTCCTCATTTCTACTTAGCTACACCCTATTGGTTCACAGATCACACTCTCTATAATCACTGTATATCCACCTCCCTCCTGATCAGAAATTGAGAAGTTGAAATAAAGATGGGTTGTTACAATTTACATAAAATATCTTTTATGGCCAGGTGTGGTGGCTCTCACCTGTAATCCCAGCACTTTGGGAGGTGGGGGCGAGAGGATTGTCTGAGCCTAGGGGTTTGAGACCAGCCTGGGCAAATTGACAAGACCTTGTCTCTGCAATAAATAAAAAAATTAGCTGGGGCATGGGGGCATGCATCTGTAGCTCCAGCTATTTGGAAGGCTGAGGTGGAATGATCTCCTGAGCCCAGTAGGTCCAGGCTGTGGCAGTTGTGATCGTGTCACTGCACTCCAGCCTGGACTCAGAGACTTTGAGGAAAAAAAATCTTTTATGATACACAAGAACCTTTTGACATGAAGATTATTAAATAATGAAAGCAGTTTATTATTATTATTTTTTTGAATGCCAGAGCCTAGTGGAAATTCTTGCTGAATGATTAACAGAAATGTTAATAAATTCATTGAAGATCTTAGTTTATCTTTAGGTTGAATGTAAACTATGCATCAACTTTGAAAGACGTTTAAGAGCCTACCTGGCTATGTTACTGAAGAAATAATAGCCGCATGACCTAATATATGATTGAAGGTTGAATTGTGGATACCTAGTTTTTCTTGAATAAATAATCACTGTGGACATGGTGTTGTGTATTTTTATTTATTTTAGATTCAGGGGTACATGTTGTTACATGAGTATATTGTGCAATAATGGGGCTTGGGTTTCTTACTAGTACTTACTACCCAAATAGCGAACATTGTACTAGATAAGTAATTTTTCAACCCTTACTCTCTCCTCCCTTTTGGATTCCCCAGTGTCTATTATTTCATCTCTATGTCCATGTGTGCCCAGTGTTTAGTTCCTACTTATAAGTGAGAACATGCAGTATTTGTTTTTCTGTTTTTGAGTTAATTCATTTAGGATAATGCTCTCCAGCCCCATATATGTTACTGTGAAGAACTAGATAGAAACCAAGGAGACTGGAGTCAGTTAAACCTTTTTTAGTCAATTAAAATCTGCTTAAGGTCACATTTATCAGTAATTTGATTAGTTAGAATTATCCTGGAAATCTATAGGTTAATTCTTTCTTTCTGGTACTGATACACTTCCTCCATAAGCATCCAACAGGAAATCTGCAAGAGGTGGTTTTCTTTCTTGGCTGCTGCTATTGATCAGCAGTGGTTGTGACCTGTTTTTAAGGGGCAGATAAGGAATCATAGTATCCATATATAAAGTTACATTTAAAAAGCTTTTCAGTATTTCTGTCACTTCCTTGTAGTTTCCATGGAAGTGGAACCACCATCAGCAGGAGTCCATTTCAACTGCTGGTGTCCGGTTCTTGTTTCTCTGTTATTATGGAGACTACCTAGAAAGCAGCAGAAAAATCAAAAGTTGAAAAACAGTGATCTGATTACAAAATATGACTTTCACTAGGTGTTCCATATCTTAGCATTTTTTTGAATTTCAAATTATTTTGTGAGGCAAGTTGATTTTTTTTGAACAAAGCAAATTTTGAAGCTTAAATACACTGAATTAAAAAGTAAAGTTCCAAGTTTTTATCAGAGTTGTTCTGAAGGTGAGTAATTTTCTTTTAGACAAGGCCTTGCTCTGTTACCCAGGATGGAGTACAATGGCAAGATCATGGCTCACCACAGCCTCTACCTCCTGGATTTAGGCAATCCTTCCACCTCAGCCTATCCTCCACCTCAGCCTCTTGAATAGCTGGGACTACAGTCCTGCACAGCTAATTTTTTTATTTTTTATTTTAAAAAGAGATGTGGTCTTTCTATGTTGACTAGGCTGGTCTCTCTCTTAAAAAAATTTTTTTTTTAATTTTAAAGATGTGGGGTACGAGTCAGGATTGGGTACATAAGTGGTCTAGGTATAGGTGAAGTTTGGACCTCCCATTGGTCCTCACTTCTCCTGGATTAGAATCAGGCATCCTTATTGATTTTATGTGCCCCCTCCTTCTCCTGGCAGTATCCCGCTACTGCCAATCCCATTCTTATAGTATTATGAAAGGTGTTCAGGATTAGGCTGGTCTCGGACTCCTGGACTTAAGCAATCCTCCTGCCTTGACGTCCCAAAGTGCTTGGACTATAGGCATGAGCCACCGTGCCTGGCCAGAATCAAACATCTTAAATGGGGGTTTAAATTAGAGCTTATAAGGCATAACTTGAAATGAGAAGGGTTAATGATAATGGGAATAGCAAGCTCCTAAAACAGTAAACCCAAACCCCAAAACTAGTACTGTATAGAAATAGTGAATAGCTATTATTTATGTCGTAATTTATCTTCAAAGTGTGTTATTGTTATTTAGGTTATTGTCACAAAAATATTATATCCATTTTTAAACTGAGTAGAAAAGCCCTTCAAAGCCTCAGGCTAGAAAATAAGTAAATTTTAAGGACAGAGGCAGACGTATACAGGCATTTTAATTGAGGTTTGAGGAGTTGAAGAGCTAATAAATGCATATTCCACAATTGAAAACCAGTAGAGTATCCCTCCCCCAACTAGGACCAGTTAAAGTTGTGAATTCCTCATGAAGGAGAGACCACATGGAATAGTAATGTAAAAAGTAGGTTATTTAGCAAAATTGCAGTCCCAATTTTGCTGCAGTTTTTCTTTGAGGTCTGTAATCAGCCATTTGGTTTGCATGTGCCAAAGTCCAATTTGGAACTACCTTAGGCAAAGAAGAGCAAAGAAGGCAAAGTAGTTTCACCTGAAATCAGGACCCCAGTAATACTAGGAGAATATAGGTTCTCTTGAAAACACGAGGATTTCTTTTTCTTCCTTTCCTTTTCTTTTCCCTTTTCCTTTCCCTTCCTTTCCTGACTCCCTTATCTGGGTCTCTCTGTGTCAGTTTATTTCTTTTCAGATTGACTGTCCTTTCCCCCCACATATCCCCCTACCGCCGGCTCCCCGGCTCCCTCCCCAATTGGCAGAAACTATGGCTGCTAGCAGTTCCCACTCCACTTATTTTCAGCTCAATGACAAGAAGTACAGTTTGTGATGTGCCAGTTTCTCTCTTCTCCAGCTGTGGCTAGGGAGATAGGGTTCTATGATTGGCCCAGCTCTTGGCCAGGGAAGCCCACCCTGGGCTAACTATACCTTGGTAATTAGAGGGACTGATATCTGAAACAAGACAGCAGCTTTCACTCAAGCCACCTGGTTAGTGATGAGGGGGGCAAGGGGTAGAAAACTATGAAGAGGAAGAGAACCAGAAGACACAGGAGGAGATGCTTTTCCAAGCAGAAATAAGAAATGTCCACTAGTAGTCTTCTGTGGAAAATTATCTGCTTTACTATACTTCAGTTCACATCAGTTCAGCAAACTAGGAAACATTATTTGGTAGAATTTGTAGAATTAGAGTTGAGATAACTTGTCACATGTCACATGACTTGTAAGAGGCAGAGCCAGAATTCAGATAACCAACCAGGGTTTCTGGAATTTATTACAGTGCACTTTCCACTATATGATACTTGTTTTTTGGTTAACTTCATTCAGATGATACATAGAGTAAATTATAAAAATAGTACTATATATTAAATACTTTTATTAAAAATGAGTCATGAATGGTATTGAATATTATGGAAAAATATTAATGAAAAGGTCTTTAGAAATCATATAGTACACTGGTTTTCAAATTTTTTTAATCATCAGCCATGGAATTATTTCTTCAGGTGAAATGTATTTTAATCAAGTACTTAAAGTAGATGAAATCATCCCATTCCGGAGAGGAGAGAACTCATTACTCCATGGACTTTATCACCTCCTTTTTGAGGTCTTGAGAAGTTTTTTGAAGGTCTTTCTGAATAACCTTTGTTTAGGGAAACTGAGACCCAAACAGGATAAATGACTTGTTTTCTTTCACATAATTTTGTATTACAGGGATTTCAATCACATCTTATTTTCACTTGTAGGTGACAATTTGTTGCTAACGAAAAAACATGAAGCTTACAAAAATAAAGGATTATTATAGTTTTAATCTTCAGTTTGATGGTAGTTTTCCATAGTCTACAGCATATCAATTCTAAGTCACAGCTCTTGTTAAACATCTGTTGCATTTGGTCCTATTTGCTGAGTTGGACAACTGTATATTGTCTGTACTAGGGCTAGTGTTTTATCTTCAGAGCTTTTTATACTACATTTTATATATAAAATGATACCTACATTTTATACTACATTTTATATATAAAATGAAGTTAATATATTTTGACACCTCCTAAAATATATCAACTTCTCAATACATAATTAAATAAGAGAATGTTAGAATTTGGGTAAGTGAAATTAATGGGAGTAATGTTTAGACTTCGTTGATAATTAATAACTTTCATATCTTTTCTGATTTTTGAATATCTCTTTTTAGTTAGAAATCTGAACAAGTAATGGATTGGGTGAAAGGAAGTTACTCTTCAAATTGGATAAAATAAAGTTTATTTTTCACATATCCAGACTTTTCTTCTTTTAGGAGAGTCAAGCCCTACCCGTCGAGAAGCTGTGAAGAGAAGAACTGCAGAGTACCTCATGCGGGCAGAAAGTATCTCTAGTCTTTATGGAAAACCTCAGCTTGATGATATACCTCAGGTATGTCTCACATTTTGTTATTTTCTTCAGCTTTTTTTTTGCTCTCTTTTCTCTCAGTTTTATTTTTAATTAGCATGTTTGAGAATTTTGATTTTTGGAGTTTTCTAAATAATTTTCTTAAAAGTTATTGCGGGAAAGAAAAACATTATAGCAAACCACCAAAAGTGGAATAAAATGGAACATGATTTCTTCTTTTCCTGGCCCTTTGTTAGTTCCTTACTATATCCTTATCTCCCTATCTGTAGTTTGACAGTAAACTGTTATGATAGTTAGCTGTATTTGAATTTCTTAAAGTTAAATCATGATTTTTACACAATTGCTATACAGTTTTATTGATTCATGTTAAAACTATTCATTTTAAGCATAATTCCTACAATGACTTGTTATGGGTCACCTAGAATTACAAAGGTATAATTTAGCAGGGACATTTAGGTTATTTCAGACCTCTCTTTGACTTTTCTAAAAGACAGATGAATGCTTAAAATATTAGACACGCAAGTGCTTATTATTATTTTTATGGTATATCTATCTGGATTTGGCAAATTTTTGGAAGAAATTTTAAAAATTTATATCAAACTAAGTTTTTCCAATGTAATTTACGGATTGTATATTCTGGAGATGGGAAAAAGCATATAGTTTATTTTTTTAATTGATGTAAGAGCACACAGGTTCATATCTAAGTCAGCTACTTGAAGTCATACAAGATTGGATGAGATACTTAATCCCACTTCTTAGATCAGTTTCCATTTCTGTGATGAAGGTAATAGTAATTCCTTGCTACATAGTTATTAGGATTAAATGAAGTTAAAAAATTCACTCTTGTGTATGGGTAAGTGCAAACACACACAAATCAAGTGCCTATCTAACACAGAGACCAGCCCATAAGCCAAAGACTAACTTAATAATTTTTAACCCATTCTCCATCTCCCCCTCATGCTGCTTTATGTATTTTTTTCCACACATTTTTACACTTTATTTACCTTTTAAAAGTATACATCACAATATTTGGTATAAAAACAGCCCAGTATTTAACCTTGATTCATTGGGCCATTATAACTTTTCTTTTGCTGATTTTTTGAGCCATTTTGGCTTCTGCATGATCTTTTAAAAATGCATTTATCTAAGCTGTACTTTTCAGTGTAAGATACTATATGCTGATAATTTTTGATATTTAGCTATTTCTTGTAGAACATAAAGATTATATTTTAACTTAGAAGTAACATTCTTACATTACTTGCTTTAACATAATGATTAAATAACATTCTGCTGACTGGTTTTCAGATTGTGAATTACTGTGACTTTTCTATTCTGTATTTGTTTGCTAATTTTTTTCTATTCTTTGTCATTATTGTTTTAAATACACTATTAGATTTATTTCCCTTAGCTTTTCACTATTTAGTTTTATCTTTTTAATGGAACACTTATCTAAACGTTACTTTGAATTCAGTTCCCATCTTCCATGGGGTTGGTGGGCCTCTTCCTGTGCAGTCCTAATGTGTACATTCCCATTCTCATTTCGGGGGGCTTTGATAAAAAGTATTAAATAACATGGGCCCCTGTGAACTTGTGTTACTAAATCCATCTTATATATAAATATTCTCAAAGTTTTGGGGATTTAAATTTACAAAGATTCTATTCATTCTGTTAATGTTAACTTTGAATGTTCTACCCATGTTTACTCATCAACTCCTGTTACAGTTTTCAGTAGACACATCTATGAAGCAGTACTTTCTTAAGCAACTAAATACGTAAAGCCTACTGTACAGGTTTTGACTTGAAGAATAGAACCATGAAGTTTATCAGTCAGAATTTCTCTTCAAGCATAGCTTCTAATGAAAATAAACAAAAGAGATCTAATATAGGAAAGTTGATTATATTCCATTGCCCATGGAATGCAAATGTCACACAGTGGTTGACGGGTTACAGTTCATCACATTTTCCAATTCTTGGGTTGATGGACATGGATCATTGTGGATTAAAGCGTTTAAACGGCCTTCATCAAAGCCCGAATGGTCTTCCTGAATGTGGAGAATCACTAAGGTCAAAGTGGACCTCTTTGAAACAATAAAACCATTTTCGTACTGATGGCATTTTCTGTACACAGCAAAAATGTTTCAAGCTGCCTCCACTGCCTTTGCTCCTCTGTTAAGTTCAAATAGAAGAATATGTCAGAAGTGTTCATTTTTTCCCCTCTTGACACTCCATCTTCTATAGCTCACAAATAGTACTTTCTTCAAATTTGCAAAATGCAAGGTGTATTCACAAGCACATTTTCACTCCAAATGACAAACAGTGAAGGAACTCCCAACACTGCATGCCAAAAACAAATTCTATGAACTTGTGCATCAGCCTAATACATTTATTAAACATCTGTTAAAACTCTGCCTATAGCATCAAGCTAGATATACTTGGGTGTTATACAAAATATGATAACAGTCTTTGCTCTTGTAAACCCTAGAGCATAATTGAGTATCCAAATATGTACATAGTCAAGGAAACAAAAGTTAGAAAGATTAGAAAGAGCCATGTAGAATACTGGGAAATTGTATCAGAAAGAGTAAAAATGGGTACCTACGGAATCTGCTTTGATATGTAGTATTTTTTTCGGTTCTTAGACAAGGTGGCTAGAGGCAGGCATGTTATTTTTCTTTTACAGAAAATTTTTCTTTTACATTTGCTTTTTTATTTTTCCCTTTGTATGTTATCTGTTAAGTCTGGCTCTTATTGGTCAGGAGCATGCGGAGCATCTATAAGTTAAATGTCTTCCAGAGAATTGCGATTAGCTTGGTGAATTCATTATTTCTCCTCTTTAACCATTTTTGGGCCTAAATTTCAACCAACATGATGAGAGGATTGGTGTAAATGATTTCTAAGGTCCTGTTAGCTCAAATTCTTTGCAGAGCAGATATTATTTTTCTCTTAAATCAGCATGCAAATATTTCTTTCTAGCTTGGTTGATTAAGAAAATAAAAGAGCCTTTTTGGCTTTTAATATTTATGTTGGTTATTACTTTCCCCTTTGGTACCATCTGTCATGATTCCCTCTACCCAAGTTTTCTGTGATAGTTTAAGCTTTTGCTTTATTGAACTTTAGAGACTCTTACTAGTAAATATAAAAGTTCTGAATTTCTCATTCATGTTACTATTCTTTTCAAAAAAGGACATTAATGGGGGAAAAAAGCACTCTTCTTCTTTTCTTCATTATGTTATGACTAAAAGGCTCCAAGAAAATTTAGGAGCAGGTTTCAGATGAAAAGGAAATGAGCTTTGTTTGAAGTAAAGGTGAAATTTTAACTGAAGGAGATAGTTTCTTTTTTTCTTTCTTAAAAAAAAATTGTAGATGAAACATTGAATGATTTAAGAATTAATATTGAAAGAGGATTTCCCTGGAAAAGATATAGAATTTTTGCTTTTTTTAGTCATAGGAATTTTAAACTCAAAAATCAATGAAATTTAGAAAAGTACAGTAAATGATCTAAATTTAGAATGTAAAAGATTGTATAGTTTCTAAAGTGTGAATACATTTTTATTATGCAGTTATAATGTGAATGAAAATTAATATGTAGAATGTGTGCCTTCCCTGAATACAGATTTTGAGTACAACTGCTATAATAATATTGGAAATATTTTTCTAGTATGTATTTTGTTTTACTGGTATTATTAGTTAATATTTTACCCTTCTTTAGAAAATATTTGAAAATGAGTATTTACTCATCCTCAGTGAGAGGTGGGCTAATCAGAGATGGCAGGTGGGGCATTCTAAATCAGTAATAGGTCTGCAGTTAAATGTTGGGCTTGAAACGTGAGCTAAGTGTTTCTTGGGAGACTGGGCGCAGGGTTAGTAGATTGCTCATGAAAGTCTTTGTGAAACCAAAACCTATGGTTGAAGCCAAGTTCAGGAATTCTGGTGTAGTTAGATATAAGGGTGTCAGAAAAAACTGGTTTGGTTTCTTGATATGTTTTTGTGGTGCTTTCCTTTTGCCCTTGATTGCTTAATTTTCTTCCAATAATGGTGACTCTCAAGTTATTTGAGGAGGAGTAGGTAACCCTACTCTAAATGGGTAGTGAACCTACAGCATCAGCATTACCTGGGAACTTGTTGGAAATGCAGAATCCCAGGCCTCCGTCTCAGACCTAGTAAATCAGAATCTTCAGTTTAATGAGGTCATCAGGTGAAGTGCATACACATTAAAGTTTGAGAAGTGCCACACCAACAAATTGGTAAGAACAGGAAGAGAGAGCTAATTCAGAACAGAAAATAAATATCAAGTGAAAAAGACACTGGGCAGGTAAACAGCAACTTAAAAACAAACCCCAAACAGAACTAGAGGTAAACTTTACCTAGCCTTTTAGATAATATAGAACAGGAACTGTTAGTAAGTTTTAACTAGTGTGCATTGTATTGAGAAGAGCTGTAAGACGATGTGGGATTAACAGAGATGTCTACCATGGCCTTGACCAGTTGAGTGGTATATATTGTACTTGACATCTCTGCTTTTGATGATTGTTGAGTCATCATATATTCTTGCCTCTCTCCCCTCCTCTCCCACTGTCTTTAGTCCTGGTAGAGGTAAATACAACTACTCCTTAGTTCTCTAGGCATCTTTTGCTACAGTAGTTAATAAATATATGTGAAAAATTTTATATTTCCATTATGGAAATATACTGTTCCCCTTCTTTTATAGTGATGGATTGAAGTTTCCTCTAACAATATTATATTATTTTGTGAGTAGTATTTAATTGCCTTGTTTCTGTTACCTACTTTTGCTTAACCATACTGCCTCTCAGTTTTCTCTTCTGAAAAAAAAAGAGAATGTTGGACTTGATCTCTAAGGTTTCTTTCTGTTCTTAAAATTCTGTGGATTTATGTTTCCTTTTGCCATCTGAAGAAAGGAGTAGATCTATAGATTATACCAAATTTAAGCACTAAATATAAGAAATACAAGATTTTTTTATTGATGATTTTATTTCATGATCTTTCTTTGTTCGTTTCTTTGATCT